GCCGATGCAGAAAGGGCAGAGGGTATGCAAGTTTTACGAGAGTGGCCACTGCAAGAAGGGGGCATTCTGCGATTACCTGCACCCGTAATTGATTGTTATTATTATTAAATATTATTATTACTATCGTTTCTTCTTCTTCTTCTTCTTCTTATTATTATTATTATTAGTTTCGAAGAGCGGTTCGTTAGGTGTACAATGTGTTGTACCTTTTGAAATGTTGACAGAAACATTGCATGGGAACGCGTAGTAGGGTAAAATCCGAAAACGATTTGTACAAAACATTACTGGTTTTTGATTTGATCCTTGTATTATTATTACTCAAGCGGCCAGCGGTGGGGCCCAGTTACTCATTCTGCCGTTTTGTGGGGTTCGTGAGAAGACGGTGGGCTTATAGTACTGATGGGAAGGTGATGTGTGTGCATGAAGAAGAATGGCGAACAGGTCGAGTTCGAAGGGCGATGGGCTTTTGGAAGCAATCAAAGAATCTCGTGGCTAATGAAAAGGCCAATTCGAGGCCTAGGCTCATGTTATATGTATACTTATATATTATTCTGAGATATTGTTGTTAGATGTGTTATTGTTGAATAGAAGAGCATGGAGTAGACAAAAACCCTAATGGGCAGTATTTAGGGTTGGTGTGGAGATGTTGGAACCTATTGTCTTTTAACAGAAACTTGTGCTTTTAGCAGGGATTGTTTAGAGGTAGAGGAGAAGACCGAAAGGGTGGATTTCAACCCGGACCCGTAATTTGCGGGTGGGTTTAAACTCAGCCTGATTCATTTTTTGTTTTTGGGTTTGGGGACTGGATAGATCCGCTCGGACCCGCCTCGTTTATATTGGATAATGTCTATTTAGTACATTGTTTGTTCTGTTTTGTTATGTTTTACCTTCGTATTACCTGGTTGTAGTGCTGTGATCGAACCAAATATTGGTTGTAGTGCTGTAATCGAACCAAATATCTGTAATCGAATCGAATGAGTCGAGCTTGGGCATTTCGAACGCTTGTTCATTTATGTTCGAACAGTGTTCGTGTTCGAACATGTAATGAATAATAGGTCATGTTTCAAACACACATATTGATACAGTTTGACATTATATGTCACACAACTTTATTAGTTTATATGTCAATGATGTTTAATTATTTGATTAATTTACTCGTCACATTTTAAAATTTACACGTACATTCTTGATCATTTATGTCAATATTTTAGTCATTGCGTAAAATGCAATGTTGCGATCAAGTGCAATATCATATGCACTAATGTGAAATTTGTCTAATAATATGGTGAAGTCTGTATAGTGATATTTTTAATGTGCAATTTTGAATGCGATATGGTGCAATGCACTGTATATTAAAGTGCAATTATTAAAGTTTTATTAAATTATAAATTTGACCCATTAACTCAAAATTGTAATATAATTAAAATTTTTAAAATTGCAATTAGGTTCCTCAAACCTATTTAATTTTCAAAATAGTCAACCCCAATTTCAACTGCGGGTAAATTTCCAAAATTCGACCACCAACCACTGTGCGTCTGCAGCATCCACCGGTGGTTGCCGCGGGTCCAGCAGACGGTCTGGGAGAAGAGGAAGTCGGAGAGGCAGACTTTGATTTTTGATTTTGACAGAGGCGGATATGCTGTAGGGTCGATCACAGGCGAGCGGTTGATTAGGGTTTCAAAGCTATTTGCGGCGCCGATGAAAACGATGAAGGCTGTTCGATTCACAACAGTGAGATAGGGAGGGGGCGCTAATGAAGACGATGGATTCGTCTTCGGTCATCGGGCTCCCAGGTCGATTTCGAGCGGCGGAGTGGCGGGCGGCGAAGGTTGATTTCAGTGCTCTTCTCCCATTGTTTGTAGAGGCAACATCATCTGAGATCGCGGCGACGGAGGAAGGCAGTGGTGGAGGTGATGCTGGCGGGCGGCAGGCGGTGGCTGACAGGCGAAGTTGTGACAGAGAGGTGTGTATGATGTGTGTGTGTGTGTGTGTGTGTGTGAGAGAGAGAGAGAGAGAGAGAGAGAGAGAGAGAGAGAGAGAGAGGGNNNNGGGGTTAGTTTTGGGGTTTGATGGGGTGAGGACTGAGGACATTGTTGGGTGTAAATGGAAAATGGCCAATTTATCCTTAATCAATATAAATAGTTGGGCTTTTTTACCTGTTGCCAATCGAACGGCTGCAATTAATTCTAATTTATTTTACTGAGTACAATTATCACTTGAACCCAACCCTAGAGCCAAACAACATTAACACAAACGCACCCACAGTATTACAACACTCTCACCAGTGGAGAATACGAACTCCTAAAACGGCGTATAAAACTATAAAACACGCACAATCGCACACAGAACACACTCTACAAGGAAACAAGATGCTAAATAAAGTCTTGCCCAACATCAGTCAAGCTGCTCCAAAATCGTCACCACACGAGCCAACACCCGAAGACGACTACCCAAGAAATACATGATCATGATCTAAGTCGCGGATCTAGAAACTCCAAACTACATAGGACATGGCTATGGCTAACTAGATCTGCAACGGCACGAACCAGATCCCCCTTCCAAAGTGACCACTAGTGGAACAACACCTGGAGGCCGCGCCTATCACCTCCCCTAACACAGAACTGACAACCACGTCCAAGTTCAACCGGAGAAGCAAAAAGGCCCCGCCGGAGGAACCCTCCTTCTCAACACCTGGGAAAGTGACAGGGGAATAAAGACGCCGGCCTCAGCCCCGACCGCCACAAAAAAAGCGAACGATGCCAACAATGTTTTCGCCGCCAGGTCGTCGAAAAACCCCGCCATAGCCACCCAACATAAGGAGAAACGTCATGCTGAGAAAGGGATCGAAGACAACACAAAAAGGCGTGTTGTCCGTCCCTGTGCTGATCAACTCCGCGGTGGAGCGGAGCACACAACGGTGAAGTGGCAAGAACAACGATGGTTTTAGAAGTTTTAGATTTGGAGATTTTTTGCCGAGGAGAGAGAAAATTGAACATAAATTACAATGAATTAGTTATATTGTTGATTGAAATAAAACATTTTCTCACTTATTATTGGTTACATTTCATTTTTCTTTTCTAATTTTATAACGCACTTACAGAATAAAATCAATAATTATAATGCTTTTCAACAACAATACTATATATCCATAATTGTGCATTATATATATATACATACTTTCAAACAGAAATGTATATACCCAATTCATAGTTCATTAGAAACGTACGACAGGCTAACCCGCCTAACAATTAGATTTTTTCATCTATAATTTGTGATCTAACAACTAATTATTATCAATTAATATTGTTTATTGTATAACATTAAATTCAATAATTACATATAATTTTATTTGTATTCAACTAAGTTTAAAAATATTTTACTTACTCAATATTTTACCTTCTCATCTCTGTTTTTATGGAGATTTTTTTCTTTGAAAAATTTCTATATGTAATCGCAACATATACGATAACCCGTAGTTAAAACAAGATTAATCACTTTCTTCCTCTTCATCGGAGAACACGAGATGACAAACCACAGATGGGTAATGGCGGACTAGATAGCGAAGGGTGAAGGAGAGAAGTTAATCTCACGCGCGCGAATGGCTGAATTTCCAAGCACCAAATCAGTGCCGGCTGATATCAGTACGAAATCGGACGATGCAAATCAGCTGAATCAGAGCGATCGAAGAGTGGGCCATTCGTCACCGACGAAGAGTACGAACACTGCAGAAGCTATTGGTAATGGAATTGGGAACAAGGCGAAATCTTGCAAGGGATGCCTTTATTATTCTTCGCGTTTCAAAGCCGATTCTCGGAACCCCCTCTGCGTTGGCCTCACCCGTTCCCTTCCCAATGGTAACCCTAATTTCCTCGTTCAATTTTGTTTTGTTTCCTTTTGTTTTTGTATTTAATACGAAATATTTGTAATTGCTATGATTTTTCATTCATTTTCTTTCTTTCTTTTTCATTTGTATATATTGTCTGGCCTGGATGTTGTGTTTCCATGTAGCTTGAAGTTTCATATATAGAAAAAGATTGCAACTTTGAGCTTGTGATGGAATATTTGCCCCCTTTTTTTGTGCAATTTAAACAAAATGAAAAAGTTGGGAGGTACCCTTTTCTTGAATTTCATAAAGGTACCTAACGTACTTATTACTTTCTTACTTGGCCTTTGGTCAACGATTGCTTGTTAACCATGGAGACCTCAAATTGGGTTCAGTAAATTATATGTATGTGCAGATTATCATTCAGACATTTTTTTTTTTTATATATATATTTGGACGTTTTACTTAAATTTAAAGAACGAATAGTGCAATGGTTGGAGGCGATAATTTGTTTTATTTTAGAATATTATCTAAAAGCTTTGGTTTTGATATCATAGATACATAAAAAAAAATGGAGCATAGAATAATTATAAAAACTATGTATGATCTACACATTGTGATTGAGTTGTTGTCCCTGCTATGCACACACAGCACAGTACTTCTGTGATTGTTGTTCTGTTCTTATGTGGCTGAGTTATGAAAGTTGCACCGACTAGGGTAATATTAGAGGTGGATTATAATTCTTAATGTTTGGTGATTAGTGCCTCCATACATTGTTGGACAATCTGAGGTTGAAGCATCGAAAGAGGGTAGGAACCTTACAGAATTCAGATATGCTTGCGTTGGTTATTCACTTTATAAGGATCGTAAAGGCCAGGCACCCAATGGGCAACAGCCTCAAGCAGAATTACCTGTTTGCTTAGGCCTTGAGGTTAGTGCCTTAAACTGTTCTTTGTTATGTGTGGTTGGGTTTAGTTATGTTGCATCATTTGCCCGTTATGATATACCTATGTGACTTTTTATCTCCTTATTCAAGAAAAGGGGAGCAGTCTCCTTATTCAAGAAAAGGGGAGCAGTAATTTGCTCCTTTCTTGGGTTGATATGGAACATAATGGTGTTTTCTAGCAATCAGTTGGCTTGACTACTTGAATTGCTTAATAAATAACCGATAATTGCTTGATTGTGTAAAATACCATTGATGCGATTTGCAGTTAGGCATCTTTATTGATGATATAGTTTGGGTGGGACCGTGGGAATATTATTGAATAGTTAAGACAAGATGAAAAAGAACCATTACATCACCTAAAAATTAAAAGGGTAAAGTCCACTTTTGGTCCTCCATGTTTAGGGGGTATCCAGACTGAGTCCCTATTATGTTTTGGTGCCCAATTTTAGTCCTTAAAACAAAAAAATGAGTCCCTATTATGTTTTGGTGCCCAATTTTAGTCCTTAAAACAAAAAAAATGAGTCCCTATTATGTTTTGGTGCCCAATTTTAGTCCATAAAACAAAAAAATGTAGTCCCTTTACCTCAATTTCTGTGAATTAACGGTCCATTTTTGCTCGACTGTGATGTTCTTTATTTTTGTTAAAATTTGTTGATTAATGTCAACTTTGACCAAAGAAAAATAAAAGAAAATTTAAATGCTGAAAATATATTAATAAAAAATTAAACTAAAACAAGAAATTGCACTAAATTAAATTAAAATTTTTGCTCGTCTGATTTCTATTTCCCTAGCATTCGCGCTGCGGAGCAAGCCTGGAATCACAGCTAATGCTCTTGCACCCATTTCCGGGTCATGCCATCGAAAAAAATTGCACCTATCAACCCTCTGTTTTTTAACCATTTCTTATCATATTCCAATTGAAGTTCACGGAAAGTACTTACAGGATATAGAGGGCAACTCAAGAATCTTCTTCCGAGATTATCATCCTTCCAGCATGTAGTCAACTTTGCAACCAGCTCACATCTACAAAATACCACACCATTTTCATCCATTTGATCGGATTTAGTCCCTAGGCGGTTAAGGTTTTTTTTTTACGTTTCACTGCAGTTCACTATTTCTGTCTTTTATTTTACTTTTTCAGCATTTAATTTTATTTTATTTTTCTTTGGTCAAAGTTGACATTAGTCAACAAATTTTAAAAAAATAAAGAACATAACGGTCGAGCAAAAATGAACCGTTAATTCAAATAAATTGAGGTAAAGGGACTACGTTTTTTTTAAGGACTAAAATTGGACATCAAAACATAATAGGGATTAAGTCTGGATACCCCTAAACATGGAGGACTAAAAGTGGATTTTTCCCAATTATAGGGACTACATTTTTTTGTTTTAAGGACTAAAATTGGGCACCAAAACATAATAGGGACTCAGTCTGGATACCCCCTAAACATGGAGGACCAAAAGTGGACCTTCCCCAAATTAAAATATACAAATTTCTTGAGTTGTTAATTCGCAGATCTATCAAATTTTATTTTTTGCAAATAGGTAAAGGTTACTAATTGGTTGTTGTGAATAATTTATATTTTCTCATATGTAAATTAATGGTAAATATAATTTTCAGCAAGAATGCGAACTTAATATCATTAGGACAATTCTCTCAATTTCTACGACTAATATGTATTAATATACATATGTAATAAGTTTTAATATATTCTTTTGTCCTTTTTTTATACTCTCAGATATATAACACTTTAATATCTATTAATATTCCGAAGATCAGAATTATCAAATATCTTATTTGATAAGTTGTTTGGTAAATAATGCTCTAATTTTCTAATATAAATTCATTTTGTGTTGATCTTTTTTATTTCTAATAATTCAATTTGAATTGGATTTGTGCAAGTCCCTTCTTTGGCACCATTGCTTTCAATTGACAATAACTTATTAGTTGAGTCGGGATACCATTTGATTGTCCCATAGTGATTATTTTGGACAATGTTATGGTTATATCAATATTTTTATTTCAAATAAACAAACGAATAAATTTTGCAAGACCAAACTTGAGATATATTTGTGTAGCCGGAATCTTTACTCAGACAAAACATATCTTATGGCACCTAAGTGACTTTTCTCCCTAATAATCTTGAAGTGTAAATCTTATGGTTATATGTTACGAATTCTTATTTGATAATCTATATATATAAAAAAGTGGGATATTCCATTAATGCAAATAGAAAAATTTTCCCGTTTGTCCGTTAATTATGATATTATAAAAGCAAACGTAAAATTTTACACTAATAAAGTGTAAATATTTTTCTAACCATTCTATTATTATAATAGTTACTATTAACACTAACTAATGAGAAGTTCACCCTATATATAAAAGTTACATACTTATAGAAAAATTTATTGCAGAACTTTTTCCTCAAGCTACTTAGTTTAAAACCAACATTAATTTTTTCATCTCATTAAGCATTTTTCTTTAAAACTAGATAGTTGAACCAAACACTTTAAAATTACATAAACAATTTCCATTAGTAAAGATCCTTTAAAATTACAAAAATGACATTATTAAGTACATTTATGCCATCAATGGTCATATCTCATATGTATCTTAAATAATTTATATTTATATTGTTCAATTTTACCAATTGTTAAAATTCTAAATTGTGATATGCCCATTATCTAACTTATAATTATATTTATATATATATATATATATATATTTATATATATGTATATATAGGATGTGGTTCAAATGAGAACCAAGTCCTAACATGAGAATCGTGAGAATCGCTATTTTTAATTGTATGTAGTGTTATGATTAATTGTGTTTTAGTGCTATTTTTAACTAGGTTGTATTTGATTAAAATTAGCAATAAAATTTTTATTAGCATTTGTGAAAATGATAGCACCATGCAATATTATAAATAGTACCATACACAATTAAAAATAACATCAAATATGGTTAACACGGTTCTCACACCAGACCTAGTTTTTATTTGAACCCCTATATTATATATATATATATAATATTGTGTGCATTTGTGTATGTGAAGATAGAGTATTAGTTATATTTCTAGTTATAGTAATAATTTTTGTACTGTTTTTAACTAGTGAATAGTCCCGTAATCTCTTTGTATATCATATCAAAAACTCCAGATTCCCGCGAGTCAAAGTCAAAAGGGCACTTCGAATATTTTTCTATTGAGTCTTTGATGCGCCTACTAGTAAGCTCCTATAACTAACTTTTCACAGTTAGCGTTTTTATTCATAAAGATAATTCAAACATCTATTTACCAAATAGTACAACTAAGGGTAATGATTTGACAGGTCAACCCTGAAGTTTGGTCCGAACCTCTAAACTTTTTACAATCCTCTAATTCCTAAACAACCAATCATTACCACTCCTCGTTAGCTGTTTTCTTGCTCTGGTTGCTGTTGCTTTACTAATGCTAACATAATTCTGCGTCTGCAGGTTTTAGTCGATAGGAGAGTAAACCCTTCTGCTGAAGCTGCACCCATTCCAGCCCATGTTCACAATAAAATAGGTAAAATGTTCTACTTTATGTAGCTATATTGGAATGTACTGTAATATGAGCGGTAGTCGTGTGACTAAATATTACGTAAGTATACTGACTGTTGCACATGATTCTGTTGTTTTGAAATTGAACATCACGGGATAGTCAGTCATGAGTTTGAGTTCGTTATTTAGTTTTCTGAGAAAAAAAGTGAGAGTTTTCAGAGGAAAGTACAAAGATGATGTTTTATTTATGTTAATGAGATTCACAGGAAAGTTGAATTTTTATAACATCTTTGAGCTTCCTGATGTCATAGCTACATGTATATATTTGAAACGGGTTTGAATTAGGGCTGGTATGGGTTCGGTTACCAAACCGATAAATCCAAACCGATACTGAACCGATTATTTCGGTAACTACAAATATGAAACCGTTACCGAACCGTTAATTCGGTTACCGATAACTTGGTTCGGTAACGGTTTCCTACGGAAAAAACCAAAATTTAACAATAATAAATGAGAGGGCCGATTTTTTTTTTTTTTTTTTTTTTTTTTTTTTTTTTTGTTAATGGGTGAGATGAGCATGCGAGAAATTAATACTCGTCAAATTTTGATTATTCTACTTAGTGATTAATAGAAATATACAAGCCGTAAAATTAATCCACAGATGCGCAAAGTGGTCGAGCATACTACGACTTTTGCTGATGGAAATTTATCCGCGAACAGGGCATCCAATATCCAGAATGAATGTCGGCAATTGTTGAATTTTCTTGAAAACCAGCGTTTTCAAGTCCTGAATATTGCTTAGTAATTATATCCAAAAATTGCTTCATCTGTTATGCATTCACAAGCTATATAACATAAGTTATTACTTATTAGTTATTAGTATTAAGTTATTAATTATTAGTATCATGTTATTAATATTAGTATTAAGTTATGAACTATTAAGATTAAGTATTTTTTTTTTTTAAATTCCTTATCGGTTCGGTTCGGTAAAACCGAACCTCTATGGTTTCGGAACCGATACCGTACCGATAACATATCATTAACCGATATTCGGTTACCGTTTTAAGTGAGTCGGTTCGGTTCGGTTTTTTTTCTCGTCGGTTTGGTTCGGTTCGGTTTCCGGTTTTCGATCCAAAAATGCCAGCCCTAGTTTGAATGAACCAAGTATTCCATTTTCTTTCTTTCATTCTTTTTTTGGGGGGATTTGAAAACCATAAGCTTTGTCCATTGCAAATGGAGCTGGAAGAGTCATTGTTGGCAATTCTCCTGGCATAGTGCTAATAATGGACTAAATCAAAATGGCTCAATTAAATTCTAGTGCTTCTATTAGTGAAGTTTCTAGAAAAAAAAATATATCAAACGGCGCAATGCACCTTTGGTCGCTACGAAAATAGCCTCCTAGTATAATTACAAGGGTAAGGTCTGCGTACAACTGACCTCCCAGACCCCAACCTGTTGGGAATATACTGGGTATGTTGTTGTCGTTGTTGTTGTATTTGAAAACCATAAGCAGCCATTTCTGCGTTTAGAGCTTCCTCCTTTGGGAATCATGTTTGGGAATCTTGCATGTTAATGCACGAGTATATTTTGCATGATCTCACAAAGGCAATGACATCGTAATACTAATATCATATGTATGCTTTTAAGGTCTACGGACGCTTCTCGCAGTTTAGTAGTTGATATGTAGCAATTAGATTTTTTTTTTCTTCTTACAGATGGCAATGACTTGCCTCAGAGGCGGACTCCTAAACCTACTAATGCAATTGGGGAAGAATTTTTTAGCAGGCAAGCTCTTTTATTTCCCATCATGCAACTATATACATGTCATGGCGGAGTTAGAACGTCAACTGGGTTTGAATGTAGTTGGTGGCATCTCATTACCTTATTGCAGTTTAGTGTGGAATTATGCATCAAACATTACTTGGATGATTTTCAATGTATTCTGTGCAAAAAGTCTTTGATAGTACAAATACCCGTTAAGGCGTTAACTAGCTGAACATAAAACTGAAAAATATTGCTTTTTCCAACCCAAAATTTGAATGCAAGCTTAAGCCTCTGACTTGTTAGTACTTAATTTAACATCAAGCAACTTCCTCTCAGGTTTTCTTGGTAACATCCGTTTGTCTTAAATTGTGAACTTTTACCAACATTACCTTTCTCGGTTGTAAAATTCAGGTTCACTCGAAATGCAAACCTGGTTGCAAATGGGGTGGCCAAGAACATCTGTAAAGTAGGGAATCAAATAAAACAAGGCTTTGATGACATAATGTATCGACGACCTAAATAAGAGGCTGGCATTTGCTCTCTCTAGATAAATTAAGTCGGTGTCTCCATGTATTATTACTCCATTCCTCTTTCTAGGGGCTGAAGAGGCTTTTTTTTTTTGGGTTTTTTATTGGGTGACAACAGTTTATTTTATGTACTGATCTTTTGGTTTAAAACAGGCATATATTCTGTTATAGGGTCCATTGTATTTGCCTTGGCTGACTGCTTTAAATTATATGTGTACAGAGACAAGTTTTGGCGAATCCATAGTTTAAAATGATGGCATCATTATGAAGCTATGAAAATTTACTGTTGAAATGCCATTCTCCCTCTCTTTTATATTTGAGTGAACCAAATAGCATGATATTGATTGTTCAATGAGTTAGTTATAATATTGTAGAGTAGTATTTTTGTATTAGGCTAGGTTAAGGCTCATTTTATATCTTTATATATATGTACATGCTTTTGTGAATAGTACAACATATAATTTTTCCATATTCCTACATGGTCTCAGACTAGGGTTAGAGTCAAACATAGGCTAGGTTTTTAGGTTTTTCGTCGCTCGTCTCCAGCCACCGCCGACTCTCACCACCCCAGTTGTTCTCTCTCACCACCCCAACTATTCTCTCTGGCGTCCCGAGGCGAGCCTTTGCTGGAAAAATCACGTCCATCGTCGACGCGTATAGCCCACACGCTCCTCGTCTTTGTCACAGCGTAGGAAGCTTTAGCCAGCGCGTGTGACTCACCTCTGACGCCGTTTGTCGTCGCCTTCCAGCCGTCGACTCCTGCCAAAGTTGGCTACATTCTGGTTCAATCATATTTGGTATTCGTGATCTTTTTAATTTTTATACATACTGATATCTTTTCTTATTTGTGATTTGGTTTGTAATTTCATTTCATCTGCTTCGTGATATTGTTGATGTTTATCTGATTTTGAATATGGATAGTCTAGATGTGCATTCTCCTATCAGTGTTATCTGACAGATAATTATAGTGTTTGGCTACAACCTATATAGTGTTTGGCTACAACCTATGAAAAAAATTTTAATTGGGAGAAAAATGTGGCAAATCGTGACTGGTGATGTATTGCCACTTGTGCATCTGTCTCGTACAGGAGATACCAACCCTACCCTACAGGCTCTTACGGCATATGTTGATAAGTTGGAGGATTGAAATAGTAAGAACCATCAAATTCTTACTTGGTTACGTAACACATCAGTCCTTGCTATTCAGGTGCAACTTGCTTTGTTTGATGGTGCAAAGGAGGCTTGGGATTTTTTGGCTGCTCGCTTTCATACTACATGCCTGACTCATTATTATCAGCTTTGGAGCACCTTGCATTCCAAGCAACAAGTCAAATAGTCTATGTGTTTTTTGCACAAGTACAACATATTCGGTATCGTTTACCATAAATTGAGATTAGTCAGGATCATCTTGATTTTATTTTGATTTTGATGGCTTTTCATCCTGAGTATAAGGCTGTTCTTGCTTCTCTCCAACATAGCCATCCATTGCCTATTCTTGATGCTTCTATTCAAAAGATCATTTTTTAGGAGACTCGTCTTCAGTTGGACAAGACACCGCACCTTAAGTCTGCATAGGTTGCTCCTACTTCAGCTTCCGCTTTGTCGCACCAGTCGAGACTGCATATCTTTGGGAAATGTAGGATTTGCAAGAGATCTGAGAACACTGTTGCTATTTTACCTAAAGTGGAGTGTTATATCTGCTATGCTTTGGGTCATATTGCTCTAAATTTTCCAGCTAATCACAATGTTCGGGAGGTTCATCTTCCCGATATTGAGGGTCGCGTGGGTCTTCTTCAACTGCTACTTCTGTTATAGCGGCTGTCACTAATGAGCCTCAACACTCGTCTTACACTCTTCAAAACAGAAACTATTATCAAACATGTTATTTATTTCAATTTTGCTATGTCTGTTACCACAGGTGAAATGGGATAACACACCGAGCCAGCTCGACTCTAGAAGTGGTCTAACAAAACCAGGTGAACCGACAGGTCGATCGAAGGTCGAAGGTACTAGAGGTCGAAGAAGCATTAGGTTGATGGCGACAATGTAGGTAGGTGGGTTCGCCAACAGGTCGGGTTAGGGCCATCGAATGGCCACGTAGAAACTCGACCTGGAGGTAAGCAGGTCGTCATATCGACCTAAGGGACAGAGCGCACGAGCACCGCGAGAAGGTAATCTAGCTTAATGGAACTGGGCTAGTTGTATGATTAAACCGTCTAATAGGACAAACAAATGGATAAGAATGAATATAATTAGGATAAGAACCACACGTGATTCAGACCACGTGACCTAACAGAATTGGGTGGTTTGGTCAGCTGGACAGTATGAACGGGAAGTTTGGGTACTCGAGCAAACCATCCGAGCAATCTTGGGCAACAAGTTAACAAAGGTATTAATGTACTTTTCCTCCATTGGTTGGACATTTTATTACTCTTCATGATAATGTTAAACAAGTTCGTAAGCCATTCAATTTCAAAATTACCAAGGCATCTCAAGTGTTCTAGAAGTCTCTAGGCGCTCGACTAGAGCCTAGCGCCTAGAGCGCAGACGCTTAGAAATCAAGATTAAATACTTTATTTTGTATTTATTTTCACTACCTACAAAATAAAACTATCTCAGCTTATAATAAATCAAAACACCTTAGTCCAAATAATAATATTAATATACTGTAAAGATAACATGATAACAAAATAATGTAATTAATATTTAAAAAATTAAAAAAATTGAAAAAATTCCGTTGACCTGCCTAGAAGCGCCTAAGTCCGCCTAGCCGCCGAGCTCGCCAAGCCCACCTAGGAACGCTTAGGCCCGTCTAGGTCCGCCTAGGCGCCGGGTAACAGCCTGATCGATTTTTTCAACCAATTTATGCAAATCATAGGCGACCGAATAGCTGTTAGCTCCTAGGCAGCCGCCTACCGATTTTTAGTACAGCGAGTATTTCCATGCCTCTATTGAAAAATCATCAAGACTTACGGCTTTGCCATTTTTCATTTTTTGCAAAATGTGATAAAAATATAATTACTCGATAAATGGAAAATGTAGCGAAAAAGTTGGGAAGATTGAAAAACAATTATGATAAGTTTTTTTTCCAACAATTATATATCTATATACGTATAGATGTGGACTGTGTTAATACGTATGCTATCGGATAAAATTAATTGTTAAGTACCACATGACAAGAAGCCCGTCTAGCTCAGTCGGTAGAGCGCAAGGCTCTTAACCTTGTGGTCGTGGGTTCGAGCCCCACGGTGGGCGTTATTCACAATTTTTTTTCCGTAAGATAACATCATGTGTCATTTCTGACTTTTTAAGAAACAAGGACAATCCATTAAATTAATTTGTCCTGTAATAATTGTGTTCTTCTCCGGGACACATTTCGTTTTGGGAGAGGAAAAATAAATACTACTCCACTAAACACCATTATATCTTCATTTATTTATATTAGATATATATAAGTAATTAGACGGAGACATCTTTCTCACTATAAAATAAAATAAAATAACTCGTCATTTCAATACACTTTGATTGCACCATGATTTACAACAAAAACATTACATAATTGCATTATGTATAGTCCACCATGTAAGAGTAAACCAGTGGTGTGAAAATATTAGATGGAAATAACTATTTTCAAGTAATTTTCATTTTTTTAATTATCCATTCTCCCATAAGCAGATNGAAAAAAAAAAAAAAAAAAAAGAAAGAAAAAAAAGAGAAAGAAATAAAGAAAATTAGAATTATTTTAGGACAACCATAATTGGCTGGAATCCCAAAAAGCACGCTGGGACGCCATTTTTGATCTCTTACTTAACCTGCTCTTCTCCTCCTCAATCTTCTCAACTGCTCAAAAAATTATCCATCCTCACGTTTTCCTGTAACCTCGTCCATCCTCTTTCTTCACCTCCACGCCTCTTTGATTTCGCCCATTCTTCTTTGTTCATGATCGATATTATTCGCCCCTTCCCATGAATTTCTCTTGACGGAAAAAAAAAATTACGGATAAAAAGTTTGATCCACATTTTCCTGCTCCGCCGGCGGATACCCAACCGACGTCGTATCGAGGAGCCTCGTCCGTTGTTGTGGTTTACTAGATCGTTGGTTGTGTGTTCGTACGTCGAATGGCCGCGGCGGCTTTACGGCTGGCGGCGCGGTTGCCCGGCCCGAACCGGCTGGGTTCGAGGTCCATCTCCGAGACACTTTAGCCCTTGTAATTTCTAACCTTGATTTTTTTCTTTTTTTTTTTCGGTTAAAATGAAATTGGGACTTTTTTTGATTGATTATCGTTTTTTCCCACTTCTTTTTTCAGGTTAGGAGATTAGAGGCGCAAGGAGTGCCGTCGAAGCAAGCAGAGGCAATAACTGGGGCAATGACGGAAGTTCTGAATGACAGCTTGGACAATGCTTCCTTTTGGTTTGTTTTCAAAGGTGAAATGCAAATAGTAAGCTGTGTTTTTTCTTGTTCTTAAATTTACTTTGTTTGATTCGTTGTTGGCTTAAAAGATTTTATTTATTGGAAGGGATTCAATTTTACTTATTTTTTTTCTTTTTGATCGGTGATTCTATTTTACTTAATTAAAATGTTTCTTTTCCTATGAAGAATGAGATGACGCAGGAATCCATTTTGTCCAAATTCAAGACTGAAGTTAAAAGTTCCCAGGTACCTGAAACAGTGTCATTTTAATTTTTAATATAAAGCTTTGTTCTTTTGTTCTGAAAGAACTTATCTTTTTAGTAGATTGTGACCATGCTTCTCCTAAGTTGATGTTATGATTGTTTTCTGGAGTCTTAGGAATGGATTTGAGAATATACCAGGGCTCTTTTCACGTTAGTTGTGTTATTGTACATTGCTAATTGCTGTTCAAAATAATTCTGAAAGAATTACTTGATCCATTTGCATTTGTGTTTTGACTAATATCACAATAATTTCTTACTCTGAGTGTGGTATATCCGTCAAGTGCGGTATATTTGCTGATTGAACTTGTGTTCAAATTTCCATTGTTTCTAATAGTATTGTCTGATTTGATATCAGTTTGGTCTTATATGGCCTTTGATAAATGTAAGACGAAAGGAAATTGGTCAAAGTCTTGATTCTTAAGAATTTGATGGAAGTAAGTAATGGTAGAAAAACATTTTCCAAACATTTGACTCGTGTAAGTGTTTTTGTTTAACATAACTGGTGTCTGGTTCCATCTGCATTCCATAAAATCGCGTTACATTTCTCAAAAGTAAAATGTGTTTAACAACTTTAGAGTATATGTTATTTGACTATAGTTGATGTCTTTTCTGGTAGTGGAGATTGGGGAAGTAATCATGGATTTTGCATATTTGGTCCAAGTCCTAGGAGTTGTGTGAACGTGACATGAAGATATATGATAGATATTGGAAGTTCACTTATTTTATGTTTTAATTTGTTTTGTCTCTGTCCCTGTTTTCTTTTTATGTTTAAGTTCCAGCTTTATATCTTGATCCATGAGAAAAAGATCATACAATTTTTGGCAATTAATAATTAAAAGAGACAAGTTGTTCTGCTTCGAATCTGTTTTGATATGCATATTTTCAAATTTGTGAACTCTACCTTGTTATATGTATCCATTGATTTTTGTTTGTCTTGCTCGGCCATTTTGCTTGAATTGAAGAGACAAGTTGTTCTGCTTCAAATCTGTTTTATATGCATATTTTTCATTTGTGAACAATATGTTTGAGCACTCAAAGTGTGACAAAACTCGTATGGTGAGCTAATTCCAGTTGATTCACATGCAGGACAACCATCTTTCTCTTTTGCAACGTGAGACTGAGAAACTGAAGGTTGATATAGAAAAGATGATGGAAAAACTCAAGAGTGATCTAGAGAAGATGCGTAGTGAATTAAGGTGTTGATAGTGAATAAGCTAAATGAATATGAAACTATTTTTTTTTTTTTTAATTTAGTTTTTATTTGATGTGGATGGCAAAGCAATCATTTTAAATTTTGTTTCAGCTATGAGATAGATAAAGTTACTGCAGATGAATAATATTATTGTATTGGCTATTGATTAATAGATTATAAGTTGCTGCAGATAAGTTTTCTTTCTCGTTTTATTTATGAAAAAATCTGGGTCTTCTTTATGCAGGAGAATCCGGGATGAGCTGAACGATCAAAATCAAGAAACAACTAACCTGACTAACAAACTTGATCGAGTGAGTATCTTATATTTGTGTTCTTAATTGTGACATTTTCTTGATATCCTTTTTTGTTGTGCGATTTTAGGAAATTCATGCATTGCGTGCTCAAATAGAAGCAGCAAAGTATGATGTGATCAAATACTGCATAGATTCACTAGCATCTGTGGCTGCCGATGGTCTAGCTGTAATTCGTATTCTGATGTAGCTTGGTTATCATGCATTCCAAACAAAGGATATTATACTTTTTTTTTAGATTTAAATCCTTTGGTTGAAATATAGGGCTAGCAAACATTGTTTGTATCCTTTGGTTGAAAGATAGGGTAAAAGCTTGGGATGTAAATTGTTATAGTGTTATACTATGCTTGTTTTTTTTTNGGTTAATGTTGTTAGATTATTTAGCTTTTCGGAATTACTAACCAAAACACCTTAGACTTATAAATTAGACTTATTTTTCCCTATATAAACGATGTGGGACAACTCACAAGTGATATTCAGCGATATGAAAAATTATTGTTTACACTTTTGTCTCGGGTAAAAAGATTTTACGAACAGGGTAATCCTACATGTACAATTGTAGTTTACAACATTAGTTGACAACATTAGCTAAAAGTATCATTAACTCAACTCTTAACCACATATTTATTTGCATCTTAATCACCCACATCATGTTGTCATTGAATGTTGTACAAAAAAAATTGTACAATTAGCTTTTTCCTTACAAATATACCATCCAAGTTCCAATCATTAATTTGAAATATTCAGATAAAATATTATAGACTAATAAGAGGATTACACATTTAGTAATGGGATGACGATGAGATTGCGTTGGTCTTTTGCACATGCATTATTAGTTACTAATAATGATTAACATATTATTGAGCCTATTTTAGTTATTTATTTCCATATATTTTTCTTCAATTTAGCAGGCATTTAGTTTGGGTATGACTCTTCTTGGCTTAAGTTTTTAAGCCCCATCTTTACGGATTGTCGATCTTTTATTATGGATCAGAAAAAATTAATAAGAGTTCTCTCTTGCACTTATGCTTTCCATAATATTTATTAATTTTTTTTTCTTTTTTCCACTCATTGCTTTACTATAAACTTCTATAAGTTAATAAAAAGTATAATTGCACATTTCCTATGATTTTTTTATTCATTCCCCGATATATAATTCATACCTTATATTTATAACTACCAGTTATAATTTTACTATCTCTAATAAACATTCTTTGTAACAATTCACCGCACCACATTCACCGACCAAACTTTCTAACCCTAGTCCATCTATCTCCACTTAAGCACAGCGGCGGCGGCCGACCACCATCGCCGCCTCTTCAATAAAGCGGGCACAACAGCCTGGGGCTGGGCACCGCCGTCAGCCTTTTGGCGAGTGGCGCCGTGAGCCCAAACACGTCCCCCATGTCCAGGTCCCCGGGCTTCATCCCGTCCGGCAGCTCCCAATCGAAGCAGTGGAGCAGGTGCGCCACCGCCATCTCCAGCGCGTACAGCCCAAGCTGCATCCCGGGGCACGATCTCCGCCCCGATCCGAACGGTATGAACTCGAAATCACTCCCCCTGAAGTCGGGCGCGCCGCCCACCAGGAACCGCGCCGGCTTGAACGACTCCGCGTCCTCCCACGCGCTCTCGTCGCGTGCGATTGCCCAGGCGTTGATCATCACGCGCGTGCCCGCCGGGATGTGGTAGCCGGAAACGACGGCGTCGGCGGAGGCCTCGTGGAGGAGGAGAGGGATCGGCGGGTGGAGGCGGAGGACCTCCTTGATGCAGCACTGGAGATAGGTTAGTTTTTCGAAATCGGGCTCCTCGACCTTGCGGCCCAGGCCCACTACGTCCGCCAGCTCTTGCTGGACCTTTCGAAGGTCATTTGGGCTTCTCATTAGCTCCGACATGGCCCATTCTATTGCAGACGCTACTGTCTCCGTCCCGCCAAACATTACATCCTGATTGATTAAATCAAACAAATTATATTTATTACAGAGATATTTGAGTTATTTTCACATCCTTGAAATAATATGATTATTATCTATTTTCTATTTTTTTTAATCAACGTTACAAAGATATTAAATGAGTTATTTTCACACCCTTGAAATAATAGGATTATTATTTATTTTCTATCTTTTTTAATCAACGTTAAGCCTAAAAAACAATAAATGAGTTATTTTCACACCCCTGAAATAATAGAATTATTATTTATTTTCTACCTTTTTTAATCAATGTTAAGCTTAAAAAACAATAGGGTTATTATAAGTTTTTCTTCACATCTTTTAACCAGCATTGTTTTAGCTTATAAAATAACTAATATATTATCTTATTAAAACATTTATACTAATAAAAATTTAATTTTAGCATATAATTTTATCCCTTGATGTAAGAGAAACTAACAGTTTTACACTTTTACTTATTGTTGTTCACTATATAATATTTAATTATTATTTTATTATACAATATAAAGAAATACTGTTAAATAGTGCAGTAGAATTGTTATAAAAATATATGAATTATTTTTTTTTTACAATATGTATTTAGTATCTTTTTATGATTTGATAATATAACTATAATATATTCTTAATGATACAATCTGAAATCGGATTACAGAATTTCAATACATAAATAATAAAATTTTTTAGAAAAAGATAAGAAAGAAATTTCAATTTCAATCTACAAAAAGTTTAAAACGATTTTATGAGATTTTGTTGACTAAACGAATTGTATGGAATAAAACAAATAGAAGGTAAGAAGGGAATTTCAAATATACAAAAAATTAAGCCGATTTTGTGGGATTTTTTTCGCAGAAAAACCGATTGTATGGAATAGTAATAGCATTAATTGAATCGCATAGCATTAATTTCAATACAAAATAATTAAATAAAATACATGCTGGAAATTGTAATAGCATTAATTGCAGTTGACTTTTCTGGATACTATTTGTAGTAAATAGGATCTCTTTTTATACAAGTATAGATTGTTGTTTTGAGAAGTTGCACAGTAGTTAAGAATCTTTTTTTTTTTTCCTAATAATAACTCTCATTAATGAAGATAAAGATGAATGTTTTGAAAAAAGATGAAAAATAAATATGAAAAAACGTAGTGTATTAATTAGTTAAATGAGGATAATAATGGAAAAATATGTTCAAAAGATCTAAAACGTCATTTATTTGGTTAATGGTTGATAAAACCAAAATGACATTTAAAAGGAATAGAAGGTAGTATAAATTATTTTGGATTTGATTGCATTTTTTTATAACAAGAATTAATTCTGAAGATGATTGGATTTGTTGAATAACCAGAGTTAATTTTGAAAAAGATGTTTGAATTAGATTTGACTAAGATTTTGAGATTGTATTAAAATAATATTTAAAATATAATGATTAAAGTTGATTTGATAAAAAAATAAGAGATGTGTGATTGAAAGTGGTGGTTAATAAAAATTACGTGAACAGATGAATAGTAAATTAAAATTGATGTAATGTATATGAATGATTGATTGATATTATTTAATTATATTGATAATATATATTGAATGAGAGTTAAGTTGGGTTCATTTCAAATTAAAAAATTTATTTAGTCAAAAGTGATTAAATAACTTATAATCAATTAGGGCCTAACTAAAGTTTTCAATTATCTCAAAAAAGTACAAAAACAACATTATGCTTAATGATCAGTCAATTTGTCATATTTTTCAACAAATTTGCATACCTTTCATCTTCAAAAGTACGACAGTTTTAAATACAGATATTACACTGTGTTGGACTTATATTTGAAAAGTTGAATATTGGTGTAGTGTAGCATGCTCAATTAATGATCTTACAAGTTAGAATGTATATATTATATATATAAGTTAATATATATTTTTTGGTACTTGTCTAGTCTAGCCATGCACGAAAGAGTACTACAGTATTCAATTGTTTGATGTTATCTACAAACCAGTGTCATAAAGGGAAACTCCACAAAGTTTTGTTTCTTTTAGATTTTAAATAAAATCTTCGACCAATCAATAATAAAAGGTTTCTTGTGTTGGATTGTTAAATCAGTATCCACCACCACCAAGTATGAACTTAGCTAGCATTTTTTTTTTTTTTTGTCTTTTTTTTAGTAAAATATATATTATATATTGAAACACCATAGTTTTGATTAAATTGCCTTTTCAAAATATGACATAAGTTTGCAACATACATATCTATTGAATAAGTATGTATTCTAATAGATGTAACAATAATTTTTTAAATTATATCAGGCAATCTTGAAAAGTAAACTACTGGAAAAAATGACAAAAATAAGTGAGAAGAATACAAAGAGATTTGCTCTAAAAGTAGGGTTTGGGGTTGATGTAGGTAACCAACAGCAACCTCAGCAGTTAGTTTAGTTTTCAGTCTTTGATAGTAAAAAAATTAAAAGACAATTCAATAGCTAAAAATAAATAAGAAATAAACTAATAAAATATTGGGGAGAAGAAAAAGGAAAATGTAATCTTGCCGACTAGATATAAGTTAGATTGTAAACAACTTTTTGAGATATGCTTCACTTCAACTTCCAGATAAAGACGGGGCAAAGGAAAAATAAATAAGTTACATAAAAATTTGCTAGAGAAAATCATCTTACTTTTTCAAAGATCTGAATGTATTTGTTGACAATACCAACATCCCAATTGAGACCATCACTCATACTATTATACTAATGTTGGAAAGATCGATAATAAAATATTAACATAAATCCAACACATCACTAAAATATTTTCCAATTTTTTTAAGAAAATTATTAACTAAAATAATGACGATTGATTGGTCTCGTAAGAGGATGACCATTGACGAGTACAAAAATATTGCATTACAATTCTACAAAATAATTTATTCATTACAATTCTAAAAAATAATTTATCAATTAGGTTAAGCTTATTAAGTTTTATTAGTTTATTACTTATTTATTTTTAGTCATTGGATTGCCTTTTAATTTCATTACGATCAAAGGCTTTATTTCATCTTTTTCTCACGTTTAATTATTATAGTTTAACTTGCAAATTGCAATGCGAGAGTAACACATATATCACAATCTATATCTATATCTATATCTATATCTATATCTATATATATATAAAGAGGTTGTTGGAAAAATACATTAATAGAATATTTGACCAAATAAATATAATGTTTGACTTACTATTATTGGAAAGTTCAAAAATACATGTAAATCTTTAGTAACAAAATCTGAATCTTATTTTTTGATAACTAATTTGGAGATTCTTATGTCAAAATTTGAATTCTATTTTTTTTATCATATTTTATTTTTTTTGCCAAAATTTAAATCATATATTTTTTGATAATAAATTTGGAGATTCTTATGCAAAAAATGTGTCAATTATTTATGAAAACAATTCTAAATACAAATTAACTTAAAAACCGTACAAATTGGATACAAATTTTGGAAACAAATAGTTGTATAATTCTTAACCAATTCTTCCAATCTTATTGAATAATTTTTTTTTTTAAAAAAAAGTGTGTAAATTGAATAAAACCACGTGCTATTTTTATTTTAAAATAAAACTGATATTTGGACGGGATGTACATTCACAATTGTGTCCATATTTTTTGGTAACAAAAGCGGTTCATCTTTGATATATAAAAATTAAAAAAATCTTAAAATATCCTTAAATATTTAACTTATTTGAGATAAAGATTTGTTAAATTAAAAAAATCTTAAAATATCCTTAAATATTTAACTTATTTGAGATAAAGATTTGTTAAATTAAAAAAATCTTAAAATATCCTTAAATATTTAACTTATTTGAGATAAAGATTTGTTAGGTCTTTTTAAGATTAGTTGTGATTTAAAAGAAAAAAACATTATACAAAATTTCACTCTAAATCTCACATTCACACTTAAGATTTCATAGTATTTCATAGTATCCCTCTAAAATTTGATCATCTTAAAACTCTCAAATCTTAAAAAATCACAAAGTGGCACTCAAAATTCTAAACGAATACATATTATATGCCTATATCGTCAATTTATAATTATTATTTAATATTATTTATCCGTGCATCGCACGGGCCACATACTAGTTATAAAAAAGAAAAGAAAAAAAAAAGAACGTGTATTTTTTATTAATTGTAGTATTTTTCATGGTCAAAAAGCTCTTACCATAATTATAGCTTTGATGTTATTCCTCGTAAGTTTAATCGAATTGTGTGAATCTTCAGACTCCAAACCCTTCCCATCATCACCACCATAAAAGGCCAAAAGCTCATCCACCATGTCGCTATCAACGGGCCCATTTTCGGTCTTCTCCTTCTGCCTCATATGCTCATCAATTATGGTGTCGATAAACCCATCGAGCGAGGCCCGGGCCCTAACGAGCCTCCCGTTCAAACCCTGCGGGTCGACCCACCCCAAACACGGCACAAAATCCGCTACATTAAAAGCCCCAAACAATTTCGAAAACTCCTGCAAAATCTCGATAAACTCCTCCTGGCCCTCCCGTGAGCCCGACCCGAACGCGGCCTGGTAGATAATGTCCTTGGTCAGCCCGAACACGAGCTCCCCGACGTTGACGGGCTTTCCCGAGCCCGCGGAAACGGCCCGAACCATCCGGTCCACTTCGGCCCGAACCGAGGCCCACGACTCGGCCCGTTTGCGGCTGAAGAGCTTCATAACGCAGAGCTTGCGCATCTGGCGCCAGAAGGGCCCGTAATGGGCGAAGGCCATGTCGGCCCGATTGTAAGTAAGGTAGGTTATGGCAAGTGTGGCGGGCCGGTTGGAGAGGATGGCGTCGTGGGCCTGAAGGACTTGACGGGCCGCATCTGGGCTTGATATGGCCACCATGTGGAGGAAGCCCATGCGGAGGTGGAAGATGCCACCATAGCGCTTGGCGAGTTGGGCCAGCCCGCGGTGAGTGAGCTGGCCCATCAGGCCCATGTTGCCGATTATGGGCCAGCTGATGGGCCCAGGAGGGTATCGCTTGGGCCGGAGTACTCGGGATAGGGCGAAGAGGAAGAGGAGAGGGATTAGGAAGAGGATTAGCAAGGGTTTGGAATCGAGGGATAGGATAAGAGTATGTATTTTCTTTTCCATTTTTTTTTTTTGGTAGTTTATTATAGAATGGTGAAGAGATTGTGCAATTGTTGCTAGGATTTTTATGGATATATCGAGGGTTTATATACAAGTAGGGAGAGAGGTTGGTGGAGGAGTTCACACTTCCCACACATAGTGGGTGAAATAGTAATATAATATTATATAGATATTTTGAATAAGATAAGATGACCTAGGAGATAATCTTGCCGTAATTAATTTTAATAATATATAGTTTATAATTAACATGGGTAATGTGTAGAGTTTCACTTTATACACAAAAATGATGAAATTCCAACATCAATATATTTCAAAGGAATTTCAACGATAATTCTAATGGATTATTATTTTGATTGGAATTTTTCACTGGAATCAAACGAAAATTTCAATTATAATATTTCGTTGGAATGATTTTTTCATTAAAATTTTTGTTGGATTGACTATCGGTAGATTTTTCAACGAATGAAAATGAAAATTAACATAGATTGCATCTTTCAAAAGAAATTCAAACTGTAATTAAAAAACTGTTAGAGAAATTGCTGGTGGAATGATGATTAAATTTCATCAAAAAATTTCTACGGTAAAATATATATATAATTTTTTTAATAAGATGATGAAGTGAGTAAGATTTCACTCGGGCTCCTTCGACTCGGTCGGCCTCCGTACCTACAAGAACCCAACGCCGGGAGGGGTCCCGGCGTCGGGCCTCCGACGCTCAAGTCAGTATCACTCCAAATCCCAAGAGTATAATTATGAATGTAGAGAGAGTGTCTGAATGGGATACCTTAGCCCCCTTTTATAGGGGAAGTGTACTTTATGGCCCAAGTTGGGTTTGTCCAATAGCCTCATGCCACGTGTCTTAGCCATGTGTAAGCTTATTCTTCAATATATTCCCTTCTTATCCATTAAAACCGGTCCAGTATAATATCCTATATCATCTAGTCCCCCCCACTCTGGTCGAGTCTGAATGACTCGATCTAAGAGTAAAATTCTTTCTTCGGGCTGTTTCTGTTAACCTGCCATTGAGCTTATGATTTGAATAAACTCTCGACCACCAAATAGTCACCAAACCTCCAAATGAGCATCGGGACCCCAAATGAACACCAAATGACCACTAAGGTAAAAAACTGAAAGACCCGCCCCTGAGGTCGAATACCGAAAGACTTGCCTCTGAGGTCGAAAATCGAGTGACCCGCCATTGGGGTCGAACACTGAAAGTTGAACGACTACTGAGGTAAAAAACCGAGTGACCCGCCACTGGGGTCGGATACCGAAAGCTGATCGACTACTGAGGTCGAAAACCGAGTGACCCGCCACTGGGGTCAAATACCGAAAGCTGATCGACCACCGAGGTCGAAAACCGAGTGACCCACCACTGGGGTCGAATACCGAAAGTTGATCGACCACTGGGGTCGAAAACTGAGTGACCCGCCACTGGGGTCGAATACCGAAAGCTGATCGACCACCGAGGTCGAAAACCGAGTGACCCACCACTGGGGT